AAAAAAACAAAAAACAAAAAACAGAAAAGGCCCCATACCCATTAACCAAGATTTCATCATGAGAGAAAATTACCTTGCAAATTAGCTCCCCTTGATATCCTCCAGCAATCAACAGATTATCACGTACTGATAAAGTACTAACTTGTGTCTGAGTAAATCCTTCCAGTAAACTTCCCGGGTGTTTCTGTAAAAGAGATAGGTCAGACCAGGTAACATATCATATCAGCCAAAGGAAACAGGAAAGCATACACTTGAATGACTCAAAATATGAACTTGTAAGAGAATGCACCTCACTGGGAGCCACATGACCGGAGACATTAAGAACTTCAGTCTTCTTGGAATTCAACGAGCACCAATGAATTATTGAATAATGAGACACGAGGTAAACATCGTGCTTTGAGGTCGACCAGACCAAATTCCTCAACTGCAACAGGGGAGAGCAGTTTGAATTGAATTAACATTCGTATAATCCATAAAAATGCCCCACGGAAGTTATAATATATGACAGGTACAACTATTTACAATATAATATACTACCTGAAAATGAAGAATGGTTGATTTTACAGATCTTGTGTTCTGCCAGAACTCGTAATACACACCTCCTTTCCTCGTTAACTTGCAGTCCTAACAAATCCAAATATCACAAAGAACATCAGATAAGCATCAAATTACAAGGTCATAAAAACGTTCTGCTACTATTTGGAACTCAAACGATACCTTCTCTGATCCCTCTCCAGATTGTGGAATATTCTCATAATTCTTGTACTGTTCTATTCTAGTCTGCCTATACTTCTCCCTGGATATGCTTAACCTCTCCCATGGAATTCCTTGGATGTCCTTCCCTTTCCGCGCATCAGCAGCAGACGTATCTGTAATCTTAGTGCCCTAAGTCCACATTTCAGTTCATTCACCAGAAAGTTTTTTTTTTTTAGAAAAAAAAAAAGGCAAACAAAGAAAACATCAAAAGAAAATGGTGAATTTCAATATCAACAATCATATCAATCAGAGACTTTGTGAGGTGCATATTGAACTAACCAATTGGCCATATCCATCCTCGCCTTCCTCATCAGACTCCGACTCTGCCATCAGCCCACCACCACCAAAATACATGTCCTCCTCTCTGTCACCCATCTCAAAGTCATCACCAGCATAATCCATAACTCCTCTATATAGTACTTTCCTAATATTTACTTGTCACTCTCTTTTTTGATGCTTCGAAGCAGCCTCTAAATCGAATTCATGTACAACCACCTATCATGCGAAAAGAAAAAGCATTGAATGTTCAGCTTAATAGACCCAATAAAAAAAAAAAAAAAAAAAACTTGAGCATCGCCAAAAGGATTACATGCCCATCAATCGTATCAGAATCAACACTGCACTAAAGCAATAAATTCATTTCCAAACACACTGAGCTAAAAGGTCCAACCTCAAAAATTCCAGAAAGATCTAAATTTTCCAGATGCCCATTATTCGCGAAGTGAACAAGAATAAGCTCGCAACAAATTATCAATGCAACAAATCGAGATAAACATACATACACACATAACTATACATAGATCGTTAAACAACAATTATTCATAGAATTTCACGCAACTACTCGGCTCTCACTGCGCTAAACCTAATCACAAAACACTTAGTACAAAACCCATAAAAAATTAAGGAAATCAACGACGGACCACGGGACCCAAAATTGAGCTGCAACAAACGAACCATAATAAAAACATCTCTAATTCTCACCTTCAATTCCTAGGACTAAACATGATTTTGAACCTGGAAATTAACTGTGGAACAGAAATAGGAACACCAAATCGGATGTCCGATGGAGATGATTAGGGCGAGATCTCCGTCGTCAAAATCAACGAGAAAAAAAAACAAATAAAAA